TACTGTACTACTGCTACAGTACTACTGCTAAAGTACTACTGCTACAGTACTACTGCTAAAGTACTACTGTTACTGTACTACTGCTACAGTACTACTGCTAAAGTACTACTGCTACAGTACTACTGCTACAACACTACTGTTACTGTACTGCAGATACAGTACTACTGCTACAGTTCTGCAGCTACAGTACTACTGCTACAGTACTACTGCTACAGTACTACAGCTACAGTACTACTGCTACAGTACTACTGTTACTGTACTACTGCTACAGTACTACTGTTACAACACTACTGTTACTGTACTGCAGATACAGTACTACTGTTACTGTACTACTGCTACAGTACTACTGTTACTGTACTACTGCTACAGTACTACTGCTACAACACTACTGTTACTCTACTGCAGATACAGTACTACTGTTACTGTACTACTGCTACAGTACTACTGTTACTGTACTACAGCTACAGTACTACAGCTACAGTACTACAGCTACAGTACTACTGCTACAACACTACTGCAACAGTACTACTGCTACAGTACTACTGCTACAACACTACTGCTACAGTACTACTGCTACAGTACTACAGCTACAGTACTACTGCTACAACACTACTGCTACAGTACTACTGCTACAGTACTACTGCTACAACACTACTGCTACAGTACTACTGCTACAGTACTACTGCTACAGTACCACTGCAAAAGTACTACTGCTACAGTACTGCAGCTACAGTACTACTGCTACAGTACTACTGCAAAAGAACTACTGCTACAGTACTGCAGCTACAGTACTACCAGTGTTGTGCGTGAACGAGTTCAAAAGAACGCGTTCATTGAACACGCTCATTTTTTTGTGAACGTTGAACTGAACGCAACACATTTTTAAAAAAAGAACTTGAACGTGAATTAGTTCATTTTATGTGTCATGAACGGCAGACATCACTATGAACGTTGGAATCTGTTTTCTCTTTTGAAACGCAATGAGAGAAAGTTCCTCCCTCCTGTATTCTCGCACTTTTTCCGCCAAAATAAAAAAAATCCTACGGTTTCCACCGTCTGTGAACGCACCCCGACTCCGTGTTGCGGTGCGGCCTGTGAGCTGGTGCTTTTCACATGTGCCCGAGTCGTGATGAAAACACAGGGTGAGTTAGCGACAAAGTTTACACCGTTTACATTTGACATAAAGTATAGACACAGCACTGCAGCGCATTACTGTCTGTAGTTTATAAGCATAAAGTACAGACACAGCACTGCAGCGCATTACTGTCTGTAGCAGTGGCGGCTGGTGGAATTTTCTACTGGGGGGGCTATGAATATGATGACTAGATATATACCAGCAGTAAGTAAGTTTACACTGACTGTTGTGTACGGTCTTAGATGTCCCCTTAAACACAGTGGCGGTCTGCAGGTGTTCATGTAGTACTGCATCCAGTGATGCTACAAGATCCACCAATCCTCTGAAAACACCAGGATTTCCTGAGGATTCACTTTCATCATGGCCTCGCAGGGCAAGTTCAAATGCACCACAGAATTTGACACAGTCTATTATTTTTGATAGGATGTGCCTATTCTTGTCAACCTCCTCATTGTGCTTTCTGATCCCTACCCTGTAGCTTTCATCCAACTGGGATGAAATATTTATCTTCCCAAACATAGCTAATTTGAGGGCATTTTGCATGTGGATACCAGTCTGCTCATGCTTCTTTGCCTTTTCTAAAAAGTGCTTCAGATCAGTCATACCTGTCTTGATCCATGCTGGGTCAGATCCTGATGTTTGAAACAAGAGGCATGGAAAGCAAAATAAAGCATTAGCCTCGCTACATGCTGCTAGCCAAGATTTGGCGCTGAACCAGGTCCTGGAAAAAGTACGAGTGTACCGTCTCCCCCTGTCGCTGGACTGCTGACCAATGGTAATATTTGGCTGATCAGGTCCAAGCTCTTTAACCTCAACCTTCTCCTGGTATGATCTTCTCTCAAACGGTATTGTTTTGAGTGATCTAACTGAATTATTCTTTTTCTCGTTCTCCATTTTGCGTCTCTTTACGTTCGTCTCAAACTTGACCTGTCAATCACTGTAAACGGACGTCACAGACAGTGACAGTACAGGTCGCGGGCGATCCCGCCCCCTCAGGGCGCACTTCTCCTGCGCCCCCAAATCGTCTTATCTCTTGCATTGAAGAGGAGCTACTGCGCATGTACAACTTTTAACGAGAGTCCATAAACGGCTCAGGGCGCAATCTTTTGCGCCCTGAGGCGGAAATACGTCCTCAGTCCGACACAGACAACGCTGATGAGCTTAATCAATCCAACTCAGCATAAACTATAAAGTATTTCTTCCACATCTGAAATAAAACACATACATTTCGAAATATTTTAATGTTATTATTTTTTTTAACGTTTTATTCAAGGTAACATGGCAAGTTGTGAGTGGTGGGGCGGCGCCCTAGCGCCCTCTATTGGCCGGCCGCCACTGGTCTGTAGTTTATGAGCAGAGATGGAGCAACTCCGTTTTGCTCCCATTGAAAACCATGTAAATCTGGTCTGTTTTGTGGTCAACAGGCTCTCCTCCTGTGGGTGTACAGGATATATATACATATATACCTCCTATATATATATATATATATATATATATATATATATAGCTCGTAGTGTGAAAAAAAAGTATTTATTTGACTATTTCACAAAAAATAGTCAAATGAACTGAACTTTGAACTAGTTCAGAATTAAAAATGTGAACTTTGAACGTGAACTGTTCACTTTGAGCATGTATGAACTGAACTTGAACTAGTTCAGAAAAGCTGTGAACTGGCACAACACTGAGTACTACTACTACAGTACTACTGCTACAGTACTGCAGCTACAGTACTACTGCTACAGTACTGCAGCTACAGTACTGCAGCTACAGTACTACTGCTACTGGGTTAGGGTCTTCAATGACAGAGGGACTGTTTGTTTCAGAGGTATTTGCTTGTTCTCTCTGTGCTCCTTTGAGGTGTATCCACAGATACTGTATGTGAGTTTACATGATGTATAAGGATTTTAAACAAGTAAGTAATGTTTATTTATATATCACAGACCAAGGTACAGATCCAAAGCGCTTTACAATATTCAGATATTGTTTCATTCTCTCCACGCTGTAATGACAGAAGTAAGACGCCGAACACACTGGTTCGTACACATGGGCGGCACGGTGGCTGAGTGGATAGCACTCTCGCCTCTCAGCAAGAAGGTCCTGGGTTCGAATCCCGGTTGGACCAGGGCCTTTCTGAGTGGAGTTTGCATGTTCTCCCTGTGTCTGCGTAGGTTTCCTCCGGGTGCTCCGGTTTCCCCTACCACTAAAAATATGTACAATAGGTCTGGCATGCGCCTCCTGTACTGACCCCACTCCCAAAAATCACAATTGTAAACCGCTCGGAGACTCCAATGTGCAGTGAAAAGGCGGTATATAAATAAAGATTACTACTACTTACTTACTACTGGTCCATCAAAGCCTCTGACCAAACACTATCCATTCACTCACTCCATTCGTATATATTGTGCATGTTTTTGGTGGTAGGGGAGCACCTGGAGGAAACCTAGCCCTGTTCCGGCCGAGATTTGGACCTAGCTGAGAGGCGAGAGTGCTAACCACTCAGCCGCCATGCAGTCCCCAAACAAAATAAAAGACTCTTGAATTAAACTTTGAATGAAATTATATAAATATATATGTGTATATATATATATATATATATATCACATATATATGTAAGGGATAACGTATATTACGCAGGTCATTATCGGAAAATAAGTACCGACAGGGCGAAGTGCGCGTCAGGGTCTGCTTCGCCTGAAGGTACTTATTTTCCGATAATGACCTGTGTACTATACGTTATCCCGCTTATTATACAGCTTTATACCAACAGAACACACAACATAAACTTCAGTCCACTTTTAGGAATGCCCAAAGGTTTATTTAATGACAGAAAATAAAATAGTTCCCAAAGGCTTTCCCGTGGCTATGCTAGCAGCACTTAGGCTAGCAACTTCCAAACTAGAACTCTCTGGAACTGCATGAAACCTGAACACAGAATCCTGAACATCAGCGGTGAGTGACCCAAACATAAACTTAACCTAAATCCATAATTCCATCCTCTGCAAATGTTCCTAAAATGTGCCGGTATCTTAAAATGTGCCGGTATCTTAAAATGTGCCGTATCTACTTCCGGGTTTTTCGGGATCGCCTTTTCTCACATTACATCAGTGTTTTTGTCATGAAAACGTAAACGGAAAATTCTGAAAACTTCCGTGCACTTCCGGGTTTTTCATGATCGCTTTTTGACGCAGAGAAATAGTATTTTTGTCATGAAGACAAGACCAGAACATTCTGAAATCCTCCGTGCACGTGTGTGAAGAATGTATAAGTATAAGTATTCTCCGATTGTGTTGATTGAGCGTGGCTAGCTCCTGAGTGGCTGGAACTACTTGCAGAGTTATTCGCGCATTTGAAATACAAGCAGAGAGTGCGTTGCCAAAGGGCAGCGGTCATTATTGTTTTGAGAGGTCCATTATAGAAAATAATGACCGGTAGAACGTTTTCAAATTACATTCAAATCAATGGTTCTCCTGCTGCTGCTGTGAGGAGCCGTATAATAAATATTAGTGGTGGGCCGTTATCGCGTTAACGTGCTGCGTTAACGCGATAGTCTTGTCGGGCGATAAAAAAAATATCGTCATTAATCTATTCTCAAAGTTGAGTTGGGAGTGGGATCTATACTACGCAAGCTATGATGACTTTAGCGCGGATGTATACCTAGCCGAATTGCATTGTTAAGCTAACTAATCTCCTCGCTCAGTGGATTGCCACCAGCTGCCGGCCCATCAGTGTGGTTGAAGATGATGGGCTCGAGCTTGTTCTCCAGACGGCAACAGGTGACTCTTCTTACAAACTACCCGCGAGGCGAACTATCATGAGGAGAATACATGACCAGCACACCACAGAGAAAGCCGCAAAAGATAAGATTATGTCAGAGGCGAGTTGTGTGGCGCTGACTGGGGACCACTGGACCTCTGTCAACAACGATAACTACCTCGGCGTTACTGTACACTTCATCGATGCCAGCTGGGAGCTTCACTCCTTCGCTTT